ATCAGTGAATAATCACTGATATTAGTGCCAAGTATGCCACTAATAATCAGTGAATTAAATGTGAGATTCCTAACCTACCTAATCTTTATTATGTGATTTAATTAATCTTGTTTTAGTGTTTAAATTCAATGAATATTGAAATAAACGTGCAAATATCAGTATTTTAGTTATACAATGCTCAAACATTCTTTCTTTTTTAGTTGAACTTCGCTGATTATCAGTGCCAAGTATGCCACTGGGTAATTAGTAACTATCCACTGATTCAGATTTAGAGTGATTATTAGAGACATTTAGTGTAATTATTGTGACGTCACTCAAGCGAAATTACATATCAGCTCTGTATAAGCGACGGTTCTTACATTTACGGTGAAAGTTCTATTACGCGGGAAATCAATGGTCCGTATTTCAGCCATTTGATTTTATGCTTTGGGTTTTCTTTGTTTCGCTATCTCGCGTGTCTACGTTAAGGGGTTATGCCTACCTGTAAATTAAAAAAAAAATCGATTTTTGGATTTTAATATTTTCTTAAAGTACATACTTTCAAAAATGTTCCCTGTAAATTTCAAGTCGATTCGACAAAAATTGACGAAGTTATGCGAGTTTAAAGGCTGGTTTGAACGTTTGAAGCAGGTATTTTACGTAAATTGCGTGAATATATATTTTTTTTTAATTTTGTACAGTCCGAACTGTTGGGGGAAAATTTAGGGGATTTGATTCTAGCTGTTAGGGGTTTTTGGGGGATCCTATGGTATGTTTTAGGAGACAACCTTTCAAAATCACTTGGCAAACTTCAAACGCATTTTTCTCAAAACCGCATTTTTAAAATCGGTGACTAAAATATCTCGAGAACCGCTGCATCGATCAAAATGAAATTTGGTAGGTTTCTTTAATACTAAAAAATCTAGTGCCTCCAATCGTGGCTTTTTTTTCGTTGAGTATTCTTTTTTACTGATAAAAAAACGAGCGAACTTTGGTAGAAGAATCGCATCTTCGAATTTGAACAGCTGCCATTTTGTCGCAAATTAATTTAAAAAAAAAATGGCATAACCCCTTAATAAGAAGGCTATTAATTTTAATACATAGTTTTTTTACTCGCACAATAAAATATATAATGAGATTATTATATACAATTACTATACGATTATTATAATTATTATATTATATATAATTATTTCTTATAGGATGAGACTCGGCCACACAATCGAAGACTCGCGGAAGAAATATCCAGAAATCACGGACGAGATTTTGGACAGTCTGCAAAAATGGGCGAATGACCGAGGCCTTCCCAATATTCCCAAAGAACAATTGGCGTTATTCGCGCACAGTTGTTACTTCGACATAGAGGCTACGAGACAATGCATGAACGTTTACTACAGCATGCGAGCCACGACCCCGGAATTGTTTAACAACAGAGATTCCAACCTCGATTTGCAACAATCTCTGAAAACCTTGTACGCACTTATTAGCACCTCTTAAATAATCTTTATTTTTATTTATACAATACATAAATTACAATAAATAAATATGAAAGAAAAGCTTTGTTTTGCAAATAAATGGGAAGTGTTATATTTCGCGATGCGTATGTACAATTCTCACATCGCAGATACCAGAAATTGTGGAAATTATTTGGAAAAATCTTTTAATATTTATTTACGCGGATCGAGCTCCTCAATTCGATGCGACTTATGTTAATGAAAACATATTAGGTATTGTCTGTGTCTTTGTTTCAATGCAATGATTAATGGTTACAAATGTTACATCGATAGATAGCGATTTTTGTTTGCCTTTTTCTCTTTTCTTTCGATTCATCTCGTCCTTAACTAACCTTCTTTAACTCTCGTCCTTAACCTATGCCTTTCAATAGTTACTTTGATACATGACCGCATTAGATGTCTTATCTTTATCGCTACAATTTCCACATCACTCAATTATGACGCAAATCACCCAGTACTGATAAGTGTTTTGATAACCCAGAAAAATCTTTTACTTTGTCTTTCTTTGACTCCAAAAAAATGATTTGATCAAATTCTGTGTTCGCATATAACAATTAAACTTGTGCGACATTTGTGCAATAAATAACGACAACGAACTTTTCTATTCGTTCGATGTTCGTTCGAAGGTGTATATATACTCGGCTTAATACATTAAAATATGCTTAAAAAATTTAACTTTTATCTGTGTTGTAGGGAATTCGCGATACTTCCCAAGCCTGATCAAAATGGTAACTGGATAATCGTTTATCGATTGGCGGATCCACGGCCATCTCAGTACATATTCAACGACTCCCTCAAGCTGCTGTTCATGTCCTATGACGTGAGCCTTTATACGAATGGCTGTTCGGAGGGATATATACTTCTTGTGGACATGGCTAAAACGCAATTCGGTCACTTGATCAAATTGTCGATAAACAGTCTGCGCAAAAGCTTGGAGTACGTTCAAGAAGGCATGCCGTTGAGGCTTAAAGCGATCTATGTGGTGAACGCGCCCTGGTTCATGGACAAGGTCATTGCGCTTATGAGACCATTCATGAAGCAAAAGCTATTCGAAATAGTAAGTTGATTTACGATTTGCGATCATTACGAGTGTGACCAAGATTGATTAAAGCAACATTTTGCATTATAAACGTATTTCTTACAGTAGTAGCGCGTTTATAGGTTTTTGAGATTAAAACTCTAGGTCGCCAAAGCTCGCGCGCCAGGGTCGTTATATATTTAATAAAAATCAAAGAAATCAGATTAATTTAACTCTTTCATGCCTGGTGGCATATAAATGTGCTAAACCTTCAAAAATGCATATTTTTCACAAAAATAAAGATAACCACTTCTTCCTGGGTTCATTTTAAAGATAAAGGATAAAATTCTTCATTAAAAATTCAACACTCTTAAAAATTTTCCTTCTTTATCTGTCTATTTCATCAAAAATTCATAAAATAGTATAAACATAAAAAATGCATATATCCTCTACAAAAATTAAAATAGCAAGTTTTCTCTGGGATCATTTTCAAGAGTAACATTTATATGAAAAATCGCTATTCAATTTCAAAAAAACGAAATCAATATGACGGACCAAAATAAAAAAATGGGTACATTACAAGTTGACTTTAACTTTCGTCACTTCCATAGATTCACATTTACTCGGGTGATATCTCTGACTTGTACTCTCATATACCGCCCGAATGTCTGCCAAAGGACTATGATGGAGAATTGGACTGTGTCGCAAACCTTCATAGTAAGTACATACAACGGCGACTCTTGCTCAACGGTAAATAGTATCTAGATATCTACAACATATTGAATACTATATAAAAGAATTTGTTTTATTATTAGAACAACTTTGTTGAAAATTATTAACATTGTACATTAATATTGATTATTTTTACTTGTAGAAGCATACTGTATGAAATTAGATCAATTGCGTAATTATTTCCGAGAGGAGGAAGCTCTGTTCCGCAATTATTCGCCTAATAATGTCAGGACAGCGGGTAAACAAATTATGCCAGACACTACCGAAAATCTAAAAGATTAGGTATCATAACAATAGCTTACGTGTGAAAAAATAGCATTATTTAGTTGATGTGTAATATACAGAATAGATGTAATAAATAGTATAGAGTCACTTTCTTTATTTATGTACAGTTAAATTATTAATGTACAGTTAAATAAAGATACAATTGCTGCTTTCTAATACTCTCTAAAATAAATGCGTCCTTGACTTCAAAGCAGATGCTTGTCATTCTCCGTATTCCTTTCTACATCCTTGCATGAAATTAAATATACATTAGAAAATGAAGAATTTTTTCAAAGTCCCATTTGAGAAACTTAAAATAAATATAAGAGCTTTTAAAATAAATGTAAGAGCTTTTAGAATTACAAAAATTTAGAAAACATCGTTCCAAAACTGCATATTAAATTTCAATAACAAGTTCAATTCTATTTTAAATTTTAAGTTAAAATGCGTGGAGCAACGCACTTTGTGAAAAAGTTAAAATTTAAGATATACATAGGATTTTTTGTTCTGATAATGGCTTTGACAAACCGTTCCAATTTTTAATCAAAATAATGCATGAGTAACCGAATATCAAAATTTTATAAAGACAACTACAATTTTAGTTTAATTATTCTTATTTTTCTTCTAAAATAGCTTTAAAAATATTGATAGATACATCCGAAATTAAACTTTAAATGCAATATTTGAAAAACCTCATCAAAGTCACTGGAAGAATATATTTCGATAAATGTTCCGTTAAACGGAAATAAAGTAAATCGCAAATTTAAATTTTATGACTTTGTTCTCGATATTAGAACATAAAGTAAAATTGATGAATATTTTTGGAAATTTAAAACCACCTTTTACTCCATAAAAAAAATTTTCTTTGCAAATATGTAACAGAGAAGTATTAATTTATTTATTTTAACAGTTAATATGAAATTGTATTGTGTGAAAAATTTCTTATTGTCAACTACGAAAAATGTCGATAATTATCTATGATCGGTAAAGTTGACAGGAATATTATCGATTATACATAAATGATCGGCTATAGTAATTACGATAATTTGTTATTACCGACTGAGAGAAGAAATCTAATAAAATAATTTAAATTTTCACAAAAATCGACGACATTATGTAATTAAATAAGTATAAAGGAGACAACTGAAATCCTCACGTTTATTAATAATTCTAAAATTTTTCAAAACTTTATGCTCGAAAATTCTAATTGCAAACCTAGACAGAAATTCATAAAAATTAATAAAATATCAATCAAAGACACAACGTGGTTAGGAGACACAAACCCAAATTCTGAATTTCGCAATTTTGTAAGCTCTAAATATTACAATTTTATTCGTTATTTCCGCTAGCAACTATATATCAAGAGCCTAAAGTACTGTCGCCATCTATGGAGACTATTCCTTTTCAAAAAGAAAAAATCAGAATGCTAAATGAGAATTCTCGACATCTACAGAATCACACCATCACACCATGCAAATACGGTTCGAGTGTTCGCATCATGTTTACATTTGTTTGTACATAACCTTTCAGATCAGTCGAGCATTATAGAGTAGAGATGCAAAAACACCTTGTTGATATCCACTTTGCTTTGGAGATATTCGACCTGTTATCATCTGGTGATGCTGAATACGATCGATGCCACTCGTTCTCTTCATCTTATCTATCGCAATTCCATCTGAAAATTTTTCGATTCTAAATAACGTTGACTAATGCGCCATTAAAGTAATAGTGAAATTATGGAAAGAATTTAGTAATTTAAAATAAATATTTAATTCATCGTTATGTAACATCGGCTATCGAATCCAATTGATGTCTTCCTAACTCGTAAATCTAGCTGTGCAATTTTGGAAATAATCGTGCAAAATGTTAATTTCGAGATTACTACGTAAGATTGGTAGGAAGTGGTTTAACATTCGGAAAACCACCAGACAGAGTGTACAATCTGCGAAAGATACAGTTTTCCGTAGTGGTGTTGTTATCGTTACCACTGTTTTAATAGTCTGGCTGTCTATATTTCTTTATACAGTTTTTTACTACTCCTATATGCCCAGCATGACATATGTGCGTCCTGTACATTTGCAGTTCAAGTAAGTTCTACATTTTGTGTTAGTTTGAAAGTATGATGTTGATAGTGTTCATGTTTAGACATGTTGGTTGTACTTTTTAAAGATATCAAAGTCTAAGAAGTGAGCAAAGTTCACAGTAGTATACATATTTTCATATAGCTATAATATTCATAAAGTATTTAATAACATCTAATATTTGTCTATGCATGATTGAGATATCAATTAAATCGAATTATGTTAATTTACAATTCATATTTATTTAGATCATGCGACGAGAAGATAGGAATTTGTAGCTTTCCGCAAGCTCATGTACAGTTGACTAAGAGGCAGCAACTTCTGATGGTAGGGCAGCCATACAAAATGAATTTACATCTAGAAATGCCAGAATCGACAGCGAACAAAGAGCTCGGTAAAGTTATCAATTTTATTCTGTAAGAATGTTATGTTCTCAATCAATACAAACTAGAAATTAAATATGTACATGCATATATACTAGGCACATATATGTGTATATATGCATGTATATATATGTATAAAATTCACATTAAATTATTTAAGCATTAAAGATCTAGCTTTGACCGTTATAGACATTTAATTTCTAGTTCCTATTTTGACTGTGTTTTCACATATATGATCTAAAATAAGATTCATAAGATTTGTTCGCGTCACATGCTCTAAAATGCTCCTATTATAGCATTTACTAACTCTAACACGCTCGTTGAAATGAGTAGAAGATATAACAGGGGGGAACACATTTGAGCATGTTGGAGCATGCGACGCGAACAAATCTTTAATGTTATGTTCTATTGAAAGTTAATATTCTCTCAAGGTATGTTCATGGTTTGTGCGCAATTACGAAGCCGTGATGGTCATCTCGTAGACCATATGTGTAAATCAGCTATGTTACATTACCGTAGCACATTGTTACATACACTTACAACTCTCCTGTTTTCGCCTATGATGATTTTTGGGAACGTTGAAGAGAAGCAAGACATTGTTCTTGAATTGTTTAATAACTTTGAAGAGGATCAGGTAAGAATCTTAGTAAGACTTTCTAAGTCTACAATTTAAGTTTGTAATTTTGTAAGAGGTATCTAATATCGGGATGTAATTTCAAATATTTCAGAATCATCCAGTGACAATTATATTTATTGAGGTTCAATCACGGCATATAGAGTTCTATTCTGCCAATCTGATAATAAATGCTCGTTTATCAGGATTACGTTATTGGATGTTTTATTGGCCAATTCTATCATCCTGTGTTGGAATTGGTACAAACTTATTTTTTATAATGCTCGTCTGTACTTTGTCGTATATACATTTTGGAAGTGACGATGAAAATTTCAATTATGAGAAGAGCGAGATAGAGGATGATAATGACCTCAAGGGCGATTGTAAGTTATTTTATAATGTGTTAAATTTATAACATATGGTTTCATGCATCAGGATTACTAAGAAAATCATCTTTTAAAGTGTCAGATACATCATCTCAGGAAGGTACATTATCTCTAACAGACCTCAAAAGTGAGGAGAAGAGCATAGAAGAAGAAAAACTTGTTATGGGAGAATCGAGTTATATCGAGGAAATTTCTGCGATAATTGCTGAGTCATCGAGTAGCCCTTTGGTTAAATAATTTATTACGCTTATAAAAACGAGATTAGTCTGTAATATAAAAATGAATTTTACAAATGGTTAGTTATATTTATAATTATTGAGAGTAATTTATAATTATTAAGAAATATTAATACGGGAAACAATTATTGAAATAAAGTGTATTTTCTTATTTTCCACACGCATTATATTTATAGTATCTTTAAACCATACGTTATATTCGCTACTATTTCAGAAACTTCTTGAGTCTTGAGTCTATCAATATGTCGATCCTACATCAAACTATGTTACAGCAGAAATGCATATGCGTCCTGATGGAACTCAAGGACAGCGAGTTTTTGCAGCCTCCTTTGCTCTAGCGCTTCTGCAGAATACTTGCTTCTAAAAATATAGTTGATACACTACTTCAATTCCAATCATTTTTTTTGTGCTTTTGCACTCGACTCTAAATATGGTCGAGAATTATTTAAGTCGAGCGTCTGAATTTTTATTTATTTCAAATTAATTTTTTAAAGTTATGTCTCGTTCGAATAATATATTTTAGTCTAGCTTAGATTAAGGATTTATGATTGGAAAAATTTTCTTTCTCATCCTACGAAGCGTTAAAAAAGTTTTATAAACCCCTGGCCTCCGGCAACCCACAGTACAACCGAGCTATGCTGGTTAGATTCATTTATCTTTCAAGAAGGAAGATTTCATTAAGAAACTGTGAGACACCGATGACACCAAACTGCAACATTTCATTGAAAAGTTAAACAATTTAAACTTCAAAACAATTCAAGACTTTATGTAGAAATCTAACAATGATATATCTTATATTAACATAATGCCGTCTTTATTTTTCAGTAATAAATTTGCAGAAGCAGACGTTAACTATGAAAATTATATATCCGCGTTTATATAAGTATTCAGTGACATTAAAAAAAATTCTTTTATTCTCTCTTGCTAAATACAAACGTATATAATATAATAATTCTTCAACTTTTTTCTTTTAATATTTTCACATCTTGGAAAGTAATCATCTGATAACTGGAAGATATTCGAGTTTCCTAAAGCATGAAAAATATTATTTTTCACGAAGATGCAAAAACATCCGTCGACCATCGTATACAACGTGATACTGGTTTCACAGGAAGTGTCAAGATCTTCAGAAAGTAGATTGTATCAGCGTAGCGACTCGAGGGGACCTCAAGAACCGCTGCGTTTTCGGATAATCTCTTCAGGGTAAATCGCAGGCATAATTCATAATATTCGGACCACGTTGGTGACGCGTTGAGAGACACTGGCTGCCTCGGATGACTGGTCGGTTAAGTCGAGATACCGGTCCCATCGTAGAACTAGCCAGGGCTCGAGAACCAAGTGTAGCGATAGTCATTCCAGCTTCCGTGAGATCTCATGCATGAGCGCGCGAGTGCGTGTGTGCGAGTGCGTGAAGAGCTAAGAAAAAGGAGATGAGGCGCGCGACGCATAGAGAAAGGGATAGGAAGGTGCAGGGACGGGACGTCGAAGGAACGGTCCAAAAGGGGAAGAGAGAAAGAGTGAGAGGACTGGGGAGAGCGCGGAGAGATAATTTAACAACCGTGTACAGGCGTTGGTCGTGGTCGGCCGGTTGTGCCCGCTTCGGTCGTCCTCGCGGAGGCTCGTGAAGGTTCGGGCACGCGAGAACCACGCGCATCAAGGTCGCGGCCATCCACCTTTCCCTCGCGGCAAGTGCACGCGCAGGCTACGCCGTCGACGTCGGGGTCCGGTCGACCCGGCGGCCAACGCCGCAACCAAGATGACCGGCTGTCTCGATCCCCAGGGACGCAGCCGGCGATACAAAGCTTTCCACGAAGAACAGCAGCCCGATGATCTTCCCTCTCGATTAACATCGCGAACAAGAATCTTTTTCATTATCCATTAGCTTAATTCAATTTCTTTGCACTCTCCTCTCGCGGGATCTTCTCGCGGGATCTTCTCCCGAGGATCTCATTGTTCTGCGTAACAATTGTAAAATCTTTGTGGAAATAAGATACTTTTGCGGGACATTAGTTTTATTAACGACTTTTTTGTATGGATTGCAATTATTACTTTTTTTTATTATAGCTAATTCGAGAGACAATGGAGTTATGAAGAAAATTTAAAAAGGTTGAGGTACTTCAACTAGGGTGTAGTCACTTGATTTATTGTATCACCTTGTCTTATATACGCGCACAACATTCATTTTAAAGAGATCATAAATTATATAATAAATACTCAATGTATCTAAAAGCAACACTTGAAACAGTGTTGTTTAAATTTTAATAATTCCGTACGAGTGCGATATCGCGAATAGAAAAAAAAAAATAATGAAAAATATACTACTGAAGATAATTAAGGAATCGCTTCTTGATGTATGTATCATTTTGAAGATATCTAATGCTCCACATCTTTCCGTGGTGAGTTTCTTTGTATAAACCGTATAATTTTAACTTTTTATTTTCTGGTATTTAGAACAAGTTACGGAATTATTCAACGATGTAGCATGTTAATTATTGCGAACGGTATATTTTATTGATATGCGGGCTCAAGAGATGATCGATAGGGATACGATTAATGCGAACTATAAATGGCTTTAACGTTCGAATTTGAGAAATCCGAAGTTAAGCTAGCATTTATAAATATACAGTAAATAAATAAAGTTCTACGGATTGCAACTTTTTCAATATTGGTTTTTTAATATAAAAAATACGGAATTCTTTATTATTTTTATTTAAAAAACTGTAGAATTAAAAGTGCTACTGGAACTGTATTACTTTTATATTAATAGAATGTTTCATGTTAAAGAATACTAACTTCACGGATACATAAAAGTGAGATCTGTAAAGTTAGCTCGTCATTCTTCACCAATATAAAAAAATAATGACAGTTCTAGCAGTACTTTATACAGTTTTATAGCTCCTTATAAAAATAAAAAAAAGTTTCACATTTTTTATATTAAAAACGAAAATTGAATATATAATGTGTTAACTGAATGGTTTTTTTTTAACACCTTATATTTTTAAAATTTCGCGGTACTCATTTACGAGGAATTAAGCAACAGACTGCGGCCCTGACTAAGAGAAAGGTGTTGCGAGCGGAGTTCGTCCTTCGAGAAGAAGCTGGGTCCAGAACTAATCGTCAAAATATAAGGGAGCACGCCGAGCCACCTGCTCGATTCGATAGGTTACAACGTACATCAACGAGAGGATATAGCACTATATTGCAGAAAATTATGGTGAGGCGCCGCGGACGTTGAGATGCTGCCGTCGTCTTTGCCGCGTATCTCGCATTATGCTGGAAAAAAAAAAACGAGATTCCACGAGCTAATTTCCTTTAAATTCCGCGCACGCAGACAGGTGTGTGAGAGACACGTGCGTGTTTTGCGAGCGGCTAAAATCAATAAGCACGCGATCCGTAATCTGCAAGGATGGGCAGAGGATAGGATTGATGGCGGATACAATCGTACGCGCGCGCTGAGAGATATTCGAAATCGCTTCGTGCTTCTGAACATCCAAGCGTGGAATCGAGAAACGTGGTACAAAGGAATATTCTCGAACTTTCCTACCATCGTATTGAATTCGAACTGGCGATTCGGAGCCGATTTGCAAAATCTAACATAACGCGCGCGCGCGCGCGTGCAAGCGACTTCGTTCCCGCGATCTTCCGCGCGGTGTACCGCGGCCAGTTCCCCAGCTTCATCATCCAGCACGATCTATCCGCCCATTTTTTTCTAGCCCCATTACACGTAATGGCGCAATTTGTGTGTAATGCTGGAACTCGGACGCTTCCGCCGATCCTCGGCTGCGTCCGGCCACGCGAGCAACACGCGATCCGACCTGGACCGGTTCGGGGAACCTGTACCCTTCGGAGTCTGCGGAGGTGCAAAAGGGGAGAACCGGTTGCCGCCGTATCTTTCCTACCTGTCGACCTGCGTATATAAACCCCACCCTTTCAACCTCCTCAATCTACCTCGCCCTCTTATTCCATCGCTCTCTGTGTGCGCACACACGCTGATTTTTTGCCAAGAGAGGAGCGGGGAAGAGAGGAGAGAGCGAGAGAGAACTGGGAGCAGCCGGCAACGGAAGCGGGGAGGAGAAGATCGGAGATCGGAGCGAGGTATAAGCGGCACCAGAAGATGGCCGGGGGGTTTGACCCTGCCAAGAATCCCGCATCTGCCTCTACTCTCTCTCTCTCTCTTGCCAATCCCGCTCCGTCCGGCGGCTAATTTGCCGTCTCCGACTGACCGTGGAACCTGTTAGCGTAGCGAAATCAGCGAAGATACAGCCGAGAGAGAGGCGGTTCGAAGATAAACAATCCGTCCGCCACAATGGCCGGCAAAAATATAGCCGATTAATAGATCGAAATTATTCAACGTCTCTCTGTCTTCCCGCAACGACGTCCTCCTGCGTTTCCTACTGCTCGTACGAATTATTAATCCGCCAGTTTAGTATGTGCTCTTAACGTTCCTTTTTTTTTATATATAATCCCCCATCGGCAATTACCAGGCTCCGTTAACACGTCAATATCTTCATCTCGCGTGAGCCGACGAAAATATCAAGGAGAGAATATCAGGCAAAGAATTTAACACGAGCGTTTATGATTTCGAGTTCTTATCGCGATAATGTGCGGTCAAAGAAAACGTCAGCAAGAACGAAAAACGAATGAGGACGAAAGACTCCGTCATTGTTATAATGTTGCTCCACATCACGAATTTGCACAGAAGTGCTGAATAAGCATTTTTAATGCATCACCAGTAAAGATTAACTTGTCTTCCTAATTCATTAAAAGTTTGCGTAACACGTTTCAGATATTTATCTCGGCGGTTCTTTTTATCCGGTAGGACACGATTACTTTTGTTTTCTGCACGACGCAGGTACAGAGGATCTCTCTCTCTCTCTCTCTGTCCTCCTTTCTCTCTTTCATCACTCCATCCTCCTTTCTCTCCCCTGTCCTCCTTCTTATATGCCCCTGCACTCCTTCGGTCTTTCTTTCGGATGCGCGCGGTAAAGCTGCTGCATCGGGTGTTTGCGGTTTCCCGCAGCCC